TGTTCTGAGTGTAGTAAGTTGTGGCGATAGCATCAGCCCTGAAATACAGAGGCAAGCAAGTGAAACTGAGCATGGTTCGGGCTGCTTCACACAAGGAATGATTTCATCTTTCAAATATGCCATTTTGTTGTGGAGTAAAGAGAGTATAGAAATTGTGAGTTACTCCCTTTTCAGTTAAGAATTCTTCAAACTCGTTGTTTTTGAATTCCAACCCATTATCGCTTCTGATGTTGCGAACCAACTTTTGCAAGTAAACTTCCACTTGCTTTATAAAGATCTTTAACTTTGGAGTAGCCTCTAATTTTTGTTTAAGAAAATACACCCATGTAAAATGTGAAAAATCATCAACATTTAGTAGTATGTACTTACTACGATCAACACTTTCAATTACAGAAGGTCCACAAAGGTCGATATGTAGAAGTTGAAGAGGTTCGATGATCTTCGTGTTTATACGAGTTGGATGACTTTTTATGCTTTATTTTCCCATTTCTCATGCAGCACAAAGATTTTCTTTGTCAAAATTCAAGAGAGGGAGCCCTCACACATGATTACCAAGAACAAGCTTGTTGATGTCTTTGAAATTGAGGTGCGAATGTCTTATGTGCCATAGCCAGCTATCATCAGAATGAGCTTTTGTTAGTAGGAATATAGCAGGATTTCCTCTTATCGAATTTAATTTTAATGGATACATTTCCCCTTTTCGCTACGACTTCAGTAGAACTGCTTTCGTTTTCTTCTCTATTATCTCAGATCCTTCGTCGTAAAAAGATACTTTAAGTCCAGTCCCCACTACTAATTGTGAAACACTAATCAGATTGTGTTGTAATCCTCCCACATAAGCCACCTTTCAGGTTGAAAATCTCCATTTGTGATCATCCCATAACCCTTTATCATTCCAAAAGAATTATTTCCATATTTGACACATCCACCATCTTTAAGAGCCCGAAACTCTCTTAACTCTTCCTTTCTTCATCTCTTGTGATGTGAGCAGCCACTATCAATGTACCATTCGTTGTCAAACTGCTCGTCACATATTACCTACAAAAATCAAGCAGATTTAGGAACCCAAAGTTGTTTGGGTCCTTGTGAGCCTTTTACAGCACAAGGAAAAGTAATAGCATGATCAACAAAATACATTCGTTTTATTAAAGTGGTTTCATGTTTCCTTTTAATGGTGAAAACCTTTATTTTGTTATTTGTTTTGTTTGAATCAATTTGATTTTCTTTATTTTGATTCTTAACGAATTTTCTCTTATCTTTCCTAGGGTTAGACGTTGATTTCTTGGTTGGGACTTCAGAATCTGAGACGAGCTTTCCTTTCCCTTTAACATCCCTGACATGAGTTTTCTTTGGTTGAGAATGATTGGGTTTCTTGGGGACTCTTTTGGGAAATGATGACATATGAGCAAAACATCCTTTTTGTTTATGTGAAGCATAGGAATGACAGTGTGAACACTGAGTGGGTTGCGCCTTTGAATGTGCTTTTCCTTTTTGACTAAAGGCCTTTTCTTTACGCACATAGTTGGAGTTTTGGGATTGCCAAAACTGCTTCCTCTCATTGAGATTTTTCTGATATCTCCTATTTCGCTGACATTTTTGCTCTGCAAGTTGTTTGGATGATTTATGAATATTTACATTCGGTTTCGGTTTCCTTGCATGAGTTTCGCTTCTTACTGATTGAGATTTGATTGTATTTTTGGTTGCGCTTTGAACCTCCTTAGTACCACTTGTACTTCCATTCTCGAAACTTGATAGCTTGTTTATTTGTTCTGCAATGTAACGACCTTTAACCCTCCAAGAGGTTCGTTCTGATAATCCAACTGTTTCATCTGCGTTATCAATTGGGGCAGATCAGAAATGATCGTCACAGCCATCAACATTATTTTCATCGACCAAGGTTGTTAGTTCATCTGTTTGACCCTTGGTGACTCCAGTTATAGTGTACACACTCTTTGGTATGGTTTGTAACCTTTGGTATACCACAACCTTCTCATTCATGAATTTGATCTTGTCTTTTGACAATCGAGCAAACTCAATAGAGTCTTCATGTATAAGTACTTTCGTTTGTTTAGGTTCAGTCTTAACAAATCCATAACAGCCAACCTCGTCCTCTACAAATATTTCACTCATGTCACTGTCCTCATCAAGTTTAGATGTATTTTCAGCATTGATCTCGTTATCTGAACTCAACTTAGAACACGATGAATCAAATTTTTGTACAGTTTCGGTTTTTATTTTCAATTTGTTATTTTCATCTAGTAAGTTTCTGAGCATGTGCTTGTGGTCTTTGGACTTAATAAATGACTCAATTTTGTCCAGTCCAATTCTGTAGGCTTCAAAGGTTTCTTACGATGAGACAATTGATTCATAGTTATAGCAATAAACATCTATTTCATCTTCCTTTAATTCAAGGAAAGGCAATATTATTTTGTGAATCTTTTTGCCAATCTCACAATCTAAATTCAACTGTGTAATATTGGTATAAAGACGTTTAACAATCAAACAAAAAATATTCCTTTGTTTCAAAAACTTTAAGTTATCACGTTGCAAATAAATCAATTCGTCTCTTACCCTAACCAACTCTAATTCCTTCTTCTTTATCCACATCCTTCACTCCTCACTCTTGGAAGACACCCTGCTAATTTAATCAGTTAGGTTAGAGTTCGTGAGGCAAGTTTGTTTTAGACTACCTCTTAAATTAGAGAATGTGAATTTTAAATCATTTAGTTCTTTTTCCATAGTTAGAGAGAGGTATTTTAAGTAATTCAAGGATGTAATTTACCTTATTGATCAACCGATCACCTTCGTTGATCTGATCTCCGACTGGTTTTGTAGTAAAGCATTTGTCTTCCCTCTCTTTCGCTTCTTCACCTTCGCCATCTATTGTGTAGCCTCTCATTTGTGACACAACAATAGTCACCATCAAACAGTTGCCATCATACACATAATTTTCTTCCTTCGCAACGAATACCCTGCCATATGTGGGCTTGCAAACTTCTTCATCTTCCGAGTCAGTAGACCAAACCTCTACACCACTGAACACATCATCAGTTGCATTTTCCTGCACAATTAAAGTAGGCATATATTTGTCATTAGTTTTCTTCTTCTTGATCTCTTCCAGATTACGCATGTGGTAAGCCTCATCATCTTCTCCCTCTTTCTTCTCATTCATCTTTCTTAACATACAATCCTTCGCCAAATGGTTCTGCCCGTAACAGTAATTGCAATCATACCCAGAGTTACCAACTAACTTTACTTCTTTCATCTCTTCTTCCTTCTGAGAAGTGGTTTTATTCTCCTCCTTCGCCTTCTCAGAGCTATAACTCCCTTTCCAGTTTTGGTTTTTGGCAGATGGGAATTTCTTCCTTGCGAAACGTTTGGGGTTAGATACCATCAGAGCATACTCTTCACTAGTTAAATCACATTCAGAAAGATCTGAATCTACTTCTTCTTTAACCACATTCTAACTCTTTGAGACAAGGGCTAAGGTTCCCATGCTTGAAACTACTTTCGCTTCTTTTGTCACGACACTTTCATGTGACTTTAGAATCCCCACTAGTTTTGCCAATGAGTAAGCCTTGAAATGTTCATAAGCTTTAACAGCTGAAACCACCGCCATCCATTCGGGTCTTAGACCATCCATGAAAGTGACCTTTTGTTCTATCACTTCTCTTCCAATTCCATGTTTGATCATCTTGCTGAGCAGATGGTTGTAACGGTTGAATGTTTGAATAAGACTTTCCTTTGGTTTTTGCTTAAAGTCACCAAACTCCGAGAGTAAAAGAGTTTGGATGGAATGATTGAGATCCGCATCAGTGGAATACAACTCCTTAATCCTTACCCAGATCTCATTTGCAGTAGTACAAGAACTCACCAGACGAAAGGTATCAGATTACAAAGCAAATATGATCATCCTCATTGCTTTTATGTTGCTATTCAGTTTTTCCTTCTCATCTTGAAGGACTTGTTTTACGTCTATCATCAGTTGAGTGCACTCTTTCTGTGTATTAATGGTTCTATTGGTTCCGGAATGAACGAAGGGACCCAAACTAATTGCTTCCTAGATTAAATACCCATTAACTTCTGAGCCGAGAACATAGTCTTCAAAATGAAGAGCCCATACTTCATATTTGTGAGTATATAAAATCGGAATCCTTGTAAAGCTAGACTTAGGGTAAAATCGAAATCAAGGAGTAGCATCAATAAAATGATGAAGGCTCCAACAGATTCGATAATAGCAGGAACCCTAAAGATATTTTTCAAACATAAGAGATGTGCATGAATTACACAACCTCCTGCTCTGATACCAATTGCTGAGACATAAAAAGTATTTGAGATCGATTAGATTCTTAACAAGAAAATCAAGTATGTAAATCAAACAAGAACACAAAATGAGTCAAACTATTGTCGAATGAATAAAAAGCCATAACCTCAAAAGAACTCTATTAAGAATTTCTACTGTAGAGGTGTGGTAGGGTTACAATATTGTTTTGAATGATAAAATCAACTCTTAACCTAATACGGTGCATGCATGCACCATATATATATATATAATAACTTTAATAACAAACTGCTGGATAGGCCCAAAACCATGTACAAAATGGACTTATACAAACTAGCCCAAAGACGCAATCTATTAATCCCAACAAAATCATTCATCGATTCTTCAAGCTATATTGAAGGCGAAACCCACACTGCTAAATTTCAGATGTTTTGACCGTGTTTTGCATATTTTGGAAGCCAAAAGGGGTTATCGACGGTGTTCTTCGTTGAATCTAGAATCGAAAGCATTTTCGGTCGAAAACGCGTTTGCGGCCAAAAACTTATATTAAAATGTTTTTACAATTTAAGTGTAGTATTTTCGGCCAAGATATCCAAATCAACCTTATTTTCAACATGAATAAAATTAAATTGAAGCCAAATTAATTTATATTTGAGAAAATTAATCTTAATTATTTAAATTTTTAAAGTTTCTCACTTGGATCGGTTAATGCAGATAAATGGCAGACCTAAAATTCTCAGAAAATCACAATATTGCAGCATTTCTGACAGATCCTCCAGCAGCACATCAAGAATCTAGGTCCATGGTTCATGGACTTAAAAATTGAGACTTGCTCATGCCTTTCAAACTAATCCCATTATATCTCAAGATTTAATAAAGCAATTTTGGGACAAAGCCTTTGTCAAAAAAATGGAGCAAATGGGGAGGGCACGGTGGAATCTTCAATTCAATTCAAGGAAATCATTATGTCCGAACAGATTATCCGAGATGTACTTCAAATTAAGGATCAACCTGGTCTTCCAAATGAAATTTATGTAGATCAAATCAAGAAGATCCTCAATAGGATAGGCGATGAAGGAGTCTTCCTCCTACAATTAAAAAAGATGCTACCTCCATATTGGCATTTCCTTTCCCAATCCTTTGTCATATGCATTTCTGGCAGGAAAGCTGGTCCAGATGAAATTTCTTTGTTGAATACCGACACCATCTCTGCATTATTCATGGATCTTGATTTCAATTTTTCAAGACTTGTATTGAATGAAATGAAGAATAATTTACAAGGGAAGAGAAAGGGAAAAAATTTAATGTACCCGAGGTTCCTACAGATGATCATCAATGCCAAATATCCTAAACTAAAAGGAAGAGGAGAAACCTTGGATCTAAAGTCTCTAGGTCCTAGCACTTTTGGTCTTATAAAGCAAAATCGCAAAGTCTCAAAATTTATGTTTCAAGGAACAAAACCCTTAGAAATTTTGGCTGTTTTGCCGAGATTGATGAGGATTCAAAATTAGATAAAGACTCGAATGAAGAAGATGAAGAAGTTACAGTTTCTGATCATGATGATGATGCTTCTCCTCCTGTAGCAATTATTGCAGAGGAGCATGTTCCATTGATCAATGTTAATGATGAAAATGATGATAATGATGATAATGATGATGATGATGATGATGATGATGATGATGATGGGATAAATCTAGAAGATAATTCTCTAGGTCTTGATGATGATTGGGATGATGATGAAGTTGAAATGGATCAAGGAGGTGATTTATCGGGATATGTTGAGGATAATCTATTTTTTGATTTAGAGCCTAACAATGACGACCTCAGTTTGTTCTTTGATGAAGTCAATGATGTTGCAAATCCTTCAACAGAGATAGGGGAGATTTTGTGACTAATTTGGATTCTATTGCGAGGATTCCTCCCCGAGCAGATGTTACTCCAGCCATTACGCCATCAGAAACTGATCTTCATGAGACACAAGCCTCCCAGCCTCTACTTAAAAGGAAAAGACTCGATCCAAGGCCGGGAGTGCTTATCAGGGAACAAGCTCAAGATATTCAACAGTCTGTTGTTGTCGATACTCCAACCCAACCAATCTATTTTGACAGCCATTCAATGCATGAGGAGCCCATCACTGTTCGCTCATCTTTTGAAGTCGGGAGTTCTTTAGCTCCTGGTGGCTCATCACCTCCCCAACCTGCGCACGATGCTGCCTCGGAGAGGCTTTCCGGGTTCTTAGTTCAACAGGATATTGGCCCTGCACCCCGAGGCAAAGGGATATCTATTGGTGCAGGGAGTTCCGAGGGAGTAGATCCATTAATTTCTGAGCTCAAAGCCAAGATTGGATGTAACACTCCAATTTCTGGTATGTAATTTAAATATGGTATTTCCTTTTCTTAAGAGGTACTCGACAAGTCAGTATCCCGACTCGTTGAGTAGATACGAGATTTGCACGCGTTTTAGCGTGCGACTCGATGAGTCCGTATTCCAGACTCGGTGAGTTCGCCTGTCTGGATAAAACCGTAAATCCTAGGGTTTGTACCCTATTTAAACATCATTATAGCCTCCCATTCTAGCCTCCAGTACCTTTAGATCACTTCTCTGTAAAACCATAGTCCCCATTGTTGAGCTTGAGTGTTTTGTGATAGCTTGGGAGTTGTAGAAGAGAAGGAAGGAAAGAGGATCGATAAAAGAGGAAGGAATGCTAGGGACTTAGCGAGTTGGCGGCCCAACTTGATGAGTCCGGTCAACTAAAAGTTGACTTTGACCAGGAGGTTGACTTTGACTAGTGGTAAATTAGTCATTTCACCCTCCGAACAGTTATCGGTATCTGATTTAGTGTATATGGAATTTGTAGCCGGGGAATTCTGGAGCAGCAACCAGACAGTTTCAGATTTAGCATCTCAGCAGCCAGCATTACAAGGTGAGTTTCCTTCCAGTAGGTACGGGTCTACGGCCACAATGTCGGCCTGTTTAGCTAGTAGTAGTCTCGGATTTCGATCTGATGCAGTAGTTCAATGTGCTTGATGTCTTTGTGATTCAAGCATGTATTTGTGTTATGTGTTCCGGACTTTGGTCCGATGCAGTATGCAATATATATGTTTATGCTAGTATTTATGATTATGTTATGCTATGTTCAGTCAGTTCCGAACTTCGATTTGATGCAGAGGGCAAGGCCCTGGTTAGTTCCGGACTTCGGTCTGATGCAGTTTCCGAAATTTGGTATGATGCAGAGGGCAAGGCCCTGGTTAGTTCCAAACTTCGGTCCGATGCAGTTTCGGGACTTCGGTCCGATGCAGTGGGCAAGGCCCAGTAGTTGCTTTATATATTGTTGTATGGTATGTGGTAGTTTGGGGGAGCTCACTAAGCTTTGTGCTTACAGTTCAGTTTTTGGTTTCAGGTACTTCCGCTAGTAAAGGGAAGAGCTCGCGATGATGGCATGGCACACACCACAGCTTCAGTTTATCCTGGGAGTTTTATTCGGATATTCATGATATGTTTTTGACATCAGTTGATTTGATACATTCGCTTTTTACATTTGAGAGATGCGATTCGTGGTTTTATTATATGATGATTGATTTCATGGTTTTAGTAATGTTTAAAACAAAATGTTTTTTGGGTTGTATTTTTGAGATGTTACATTGGAATATTGAATCAGAAGATCATTAAGAAAGATGTTTTGATAGGAAATCTAGATGTTAGAGTTTTTGATCTTGAAAAGGAAAACCTTGAAACATCACTGCAAATTTCAGCTCTGCAGCTCAATCACGACGCTCTCTCTGCTGGATACTTCGATCTGAAGAACAAGCTGATAAGTGAATTTGACGACAAATTCAAAACATCCAGCGGAGAGACAAGTGTGGTTAAGACATTGTAACGCCTGTGTTTCTGGGCTTGCCATTTTTAGCAATGTGATAGTCTAGGTTAACCTTTGTAACCCGTTTTGAAATAATATGATTGTATTATTTGAGTATTATGTGTTTTGTGCTTAATTGCTTAATTATGTGGTTTGATTAATTAAGAATAAAAATAAGCGTCAAAATTTAAGTGTAAAATAAACTTGATATCTTTAGATAATGTTGTAGTAGTTGAAACAAGGTTTCCGAAGATATAAAGAATGCCGAAATCCGAGTTATAACGAGGAAGTTATGACCTGTTGAAGTTTCGCGACAGAACCGGCACCGCTGATTAACGTAAAAAGTGAAATTTACATTAGAGCGATATTTAGCCTTAGTGATCTAAATGAGAATAGAAGATCTCATTGTTAGTATCAAAGCGATAAAAAGTTAGGCAAGAACGGACGTCAAACGAAGAAGTTATGAATTTATAACAAAAATTTCTGTCCCGGCCTATTAAAAATAAATAATAAAAATAAAGTCAAAATTAGCCGATGGAGTATAAATGAAAGTTGTAGAGCATAGTCTCACCTTTCCGTGGATATAAAGAAAGTCGAAAATGGAGTTCGTATGAAGAAGATATGAATTTCCGAAGTTTGATAAATAATTTGTATTTATTTTTAATCAAAAATCCGGCATTATCCGAAGGGGGAGTCAGCAGTCCGATCCGAGGTACGCGCCGCGTACTCGAGTACGCCATGCGTACAGCCAGAGTGTCGACACTTCGGATGACGCATGCAGTGACGCATTTCGGAAGCAGTACGCGCTGCGTAGTGCAGTACGCCCCGCGTAATTGAGGCTTCCAGCCTCCTATAAATAGGATGCGAGGGCAGCCGGCCAAATTGCTATTTTTCTCTCTTTTCTCTCCCGTTTTGCATCGTTTTGCATGCCCGAAATATCCCGAAGCCCCGTTAATATTCTCGAGTCCCGAAGCGAATCCCGAGATCCCGGAGATCCCGAGAAGTGCGGTTCCCGAACCGAAGCTCTGCCCGCGAGAAGTTCGATTTTTGTGGAGATCTTCCAGATCTGCTGTGGATTACTACTTCTGCAAGTCGTAGTGCTGTCCGATCATCTTCTGATCAAGTGAGTGTATACTACCTTTCATAAACGCAATAATAATACAAGTATGATTTGAGTGTATTAAGTTTATTGTCGTTTATACGTGTGAAGGCGTTGTTACTTTCTCCTAACGTATAACTATGAAGTATTTTATATGAGATACGTGTTATGTGTATATTTTGTTGTTATGTGTGTGAATGTATATTCACTTTCTTCTATCTTACAGATCTGATTATTTCTATATGAAATACGTGTTATGTGTGTGTGCCTCATCTGTTATATGGAAAATGTATTGATCAAGCATGCTATACAGGTTTTGAAAATATGTATAAAAATGTATGTTTTTATCTACTAATATGTTGGGTAGAACATGGGTAGATAGTTGGTGTGTAATAAACAGATGAGAGGCCTCGTTGTTGTTTTAAATCCAGTCATCTAGCGGAATTTAGATGATGACCACGGACTTTTCTAGACAGTCTAGTGGAACGCTAGCAGGCTCATAACCTGTAGGTGTTAATGAACTTGGGTGTTCATTCGCTGTATTCCATCCCCCTCATGGTTGCCTTATTTGACTTATATTGCTGAGGAAACCCCGCAGCATGTGTTGTCACCCCGATGAAAATATTCTTAGATTAGGTCCCTTGTGTTAGTTATTTTAGGGACATAAAGTGAGAATAACGGGAATGGGTAACTGGGTTATTGTTGGTTGATAATAATTAATTTAATTATTTATTGTGGGTTGAAAACCCTATATGCTCACCAGGCTCCCAAGCCTGACCCACTCAGTTTTATTTGTATTACAGGAAGTGGCGCAAGGGCGTAAGATGGATGAACCATCAAGTTGTTTTGTTTACAAGTCTATATATGTAAATATTTGTTGAATGACTTGTAATGTTATCGTTTATGCTTGTTGGTCTATATTGGAACATGACACCCCGAGTTTTGATTATATAATGAAAAATACATTTCTTTTATGAAATGCTTTGGTAAACATTGTTTTATCATGTTTTGTTTTTGGTAACAAATTCCGTAATACTTTCAAACCAAAAGGATTTACTCTGAATTTATTTTAAAAGCATAAATGAAAATCGGTCTTTTCTGGCCGAGATTTTGGAGATGTCACAGACATCCCATGGTGCCCCTGCACTAATAACTCAGGCTTCTCATGATATTTCTCAACATGTTCGTACATCTCGTATAGTTGATTGATTCGACAAAGAACCTGCTCAAGCCAATCCAATATCAATTCTAAAGCAAGCTCAGAAACAAGCCAAGTCTCAAGGAAAAAGAGGATTACTTTTCATGAAAAATTCAGATCAAAACATTCGTGGAGATCAGCCTAAACTAAGGATTTCTGAGCTCGGGCGAAAGGGATTCAAGACCAAATACAGAAATCGGTCAGGTATTACAATGTGGGGATTTCACAAAAAATTAAATATCTGGGTGGTCAAGAGAAAGAGTGGAAACGTGGAGTACTATGCTCATCAAAATGAATTTAGTTCTTGGACTAAAGTTGATCTTACAGAATTATCTGAAGCTCCTTTCCACAATCCTTCAGGTGATCCTTGCGGAACCAAGTTCCAACTCTTCCTGGAAAATCAAGTCAAGAGGAAGTTTGACGTAATGAAGACTGCTGATTCGATTGTGAAGAAATTCAAAGGGTTAATTGATCCCAGCACCAATCGAACTTTTAAAAATGTGATGTGGCCTCCTACTCGACAAATGGAACAAATTCCTATTGTTCAACAGCTTCCTGATGGGTAACTAAACGATATGGAATATTGGGTTTTTGACGAGGTCACAGCTTCTACTGTCATCAAATTCCCGACCGGAACAATCTGCCTCATTGAAGCAAAGGATCTTCTTCAATTTTGTGAGCGCAACATCCATACCTTGGAAAATCATCAAATTATGGTCAAAAATGAGATCTTGGAGCCTGCAGCTAAAGAATTTATGAGCATAGTTGCTGAAATTATCCACAATCGAATGTGGGCTGGTGCCATGAGAAAAGCAGATGTGCTTATAGTTCACAAGAATTTAATTCATGCTAGCCTCAAACCAAGGGAGAGACTGTTAGGTCATATTTTGTTGGTTTGAACAATGCATTTGTGTTTTGTTGGATTTGTATAAGTATTTCATGAGTTTTTGGTTGGGGGGCATTTTCGGTCCAGATGGTGTTTTCGGCCGCAAACCATTTTCGGCCACTGTTCCCTATATATACCATTAGTAGTTGTCAGACGTACAGTAGTAGTTTTTAGTCGTCTAAGTGTGTTTTGCTTCCATTGTACGAGACGATTGAGTTAACTGAAATCGTGTGTAATTTGGTTGAATTAGCTTCTACTCCTTATTCTTTCATCATATTTTAGCTTGATTGTTTGATCACTAGTTGGTTATTCGGCTTTTGTGGGACTTACAAGTATACTTCTAGTTCAGAGTGCTTTGGCCCCTTATTTTTTTATAGTTGTATATTATGTAAGGTGTGATATACTGTGATAACCCGAATTTTTTTTCCGTGTAAGTCCAACAGTCAACTCAACTGAGTGTCAGACTCGTTTCTGCTATCGTTTAGTCTTGTTTAGAGTCTATTTAAAGGCTCAAAGCTCAGTACATTCAAGAATTAAGTAAAGGATTGGATCGCATACACTTTAAAACACCAAAATCCAGCCATACACTCCGTTTGAGGGAGTGTACGACCATACACATGAGTGTATGGCCATACACACCCCTCCATAAGTATGTTAATCATTCATTTCTAAGCCATTCTTCAGTTTCAAGGTCAAGACCATCGATTTCTCTCTCAACTATCATCCGTTTTTCATCCCAATCTTCAAGAATGTAAGCCTTTCATCGGTTTTGATTTGTTGTTAATCCTTTTAAATTAGTAACACCCTCTTGATCCATCCATTAACAACATCTTTTGGCTAGATCTTCAAGTTCACCAAGAACACACACTTGTTCTTGGTGATTGTGAACCCTTTTGATCCTTCATATCGTAAGTACTCTTTCCCTATGCTTAAGTACATGTAAGAACACTAGATTAACACCTTGAAAATGCCTAGAAATCATGAACATGAGGTGTGTACGGCTGTACACTCCTCAAAACATCCTTAAAGGGGACTCCAAAGTTCGTTTCTGGCTTCAAGACTTGAAGAGAAATTGTCCCACAAGCATCCTTACCCTTGGAAAATGATTTTGTGCACTTGTTACCATGAGTGTACGACCGTACAATCCCTGGCCACACACTTCACCATGTGGTCGTACAATCCCCTTTAGTGAATCACATGTGATTCCAACACTTGGTCAAAGTGTTTCCTAGTCCCGTGAGGTGTTTCATTGCGTTTGGTTGCTTCCAAACACTATATTTATGTCAATCTATGCCATTTAGGACTTGTTAAGTCTCGGGAGTTCATCCGTGGAACTTCTCATCCTTACACACATATTCGCTTGAATCACCCACATCAGGTGAGTTCATACCCCATAATCAACCTTTTAAACTATTTTAAATGCTTTTACCGGGGGGGGGGGGGGGATACATGCTGAACACAATTGATAATTGTGTAATTTTTGTTAAACATCTTTCAAAAGATTACTTATGTCTTTTAATAAGTGATCAAAACATTTCAAAAACTCTTTTAAAGTTATGTTACTTTATAGTTTAACAAAACTCCGTTTTTAAAGTACAAGCATAACTTAGTAGTAAAATGAGTCTTTTCAATAACATTTCAAGTAAAACACTAGTAAACTATAATGGGTATAGTTTAGAGAGTCAATTCATACTAGATACTAGAGCATACTATAAAGAAAAACATGGAGGTAGAAACAATACACGGTAATAGAAGGAACATACTAAGATACTATAATGACAACATACTAAGATACTATAATAGAACGAACATAATAAGGTGTGGCAGCATGGGAAAAC